AACTCTAGTCTTTATTGTTGTTCCACTTTGCCTTTATAAGAGGAAACTCTTTTGATATTTAGTATCCTTTTAACAACCACCAGGAGCACTGGAGGAGGCTTGCTGAATTCACAGAGCCATCTGGAGCCATTACTGCATACGGACACGGAGTGAAACAGGAAAGCGTGGGCGTTTCCAATCCCTTTTAACTCTAATATCTATGATTTAAGCATAGATAGTAGAGTAAATGAAAGGGATAGGAAACTTCCGTTGCGTGGGCGGATTATTCCATTAAGATTATTAGGTTGCCTAGCAACATAGGCAAGTTACCCTTCCCGGGCCTTTTCCTTCACTGTTCGGCGTCCTATTTCAACTCATAACTCTAAAGTGACTTGTGTTCGTCCTCTGAAATGATAATTAAAGGCATTACAGATACCTCCCTTACAGTCTGTCTAATTTTTGAAGTAAAATAATATTGATAACTATGGGTAAAGTTTGATTTAGTGACTTGATACCTTCAATATTGTGGTTTTGTACCCTTTTTTAGAATACAAAAGAAGCAATACCAGAATTAACTATTACCAACTATTCTATACATTATTATGGAGGGCACGCAACATAAATGGCTCCGATGACAGATTTGGTGACTGATTTATAATCAATTCAAAGTTTTTGCGAAGACCTTTGTTTTGTACCTTTTTCTTTACAGCTCAATGATTGGCACATTTTAATGTGATATGAAAGCAAAGCTTGATGTACACTTGAGGGCACGCACATACTTTAATGTATGTGACATAAACACAATTTGAGAAAAACCATTATGAAGTTGTACTATTCCATAATGTTTGATAATTTTCTTAATAAATCCTATTGTAAAATTGAAAAAATTCCTATAAATAGAGAAATTATCATTGTATGGGTAACTAGCATTTCCTGCCGCGAACGGAAGTTTCCAATCCCTTTCATTTACTCTAATATCTATGGTGAGACTAGCTTTGGTTTGGAGGATGCCCACTTATCACTGCTAGTTATTTATTATCACTGCTAGTATTCTTGGTAGATTATTTAAGTTCATACAGGGACCCCTATATATTTCCTACTTAGTTAAGTTTTTTCCCTAAAAGTTTGAGTAAATCAATGCTCATTAAAAAGGTTCAACCAGTTCATATATACTTGCTGCATGTGCTGTTCATTACAAAGAGCCCACAGTTACAATTAACTATTAATCCAATACCAGTATATTAATAGCTTATTATGTCTGCACTCAGTGGTGGTGCCAGGTGCATGGACAACACATGTCCAGAAATTA